TATGTAAAAATATTTCGTAATTGTAAAATTATTGTAATAAGTTAAAGAAATATCAAACTTGCTAACATTTTTGGCGGCCTCCTACTGCAGGTCCCGCTAGCCCATTGGGGTTGCGCCCTACAGTTTCAGAAATTCTGCATTAGGGAAATATTTAAACAATGCGTATATGAAGCTGCTTATTTGTGTTTTCGCATACTTTTTTTATGATCACAAATATTAGTTGTATGAAAAAGACACACATTTTTGACATAAATTGCAATATACTCGTACCATGCTTTGTCAATTAAGTAATTATAATTACAGCTACAAGTCATGCTTAATGCTAAATATAAGAGTATTGCAGAATTGTATTCAGAAATTATATGCAATAAGTGTTGGTTCATTGTGTTAACTTCGTTGACAGACAGCTTTCAGTTTAACAGCAAATGGCCCACAGTTTAAGTTGCAAGCTTGAATGGTGAGTTGTATGTTTTCCGAGGAAAGCAACTAAACGTGCTATATCATTATACATACAAAGCGGGAAAATTCTTGCCTTTTTTATGTGTTTGATGTTGAATGAATAATAGTCAGAAACAGTACTTTGTATGTCAGCATACACATTAATAAAAAGTCATTTCTGAATCTAAGAATGACTGAAATATTACTAACATGTGTTATGTAGAAAAACGTCTAAATTTTTCGTATTAAGAAAAGTATAAGCGTACTTATATTCATCTAGGAAAATTAGAATTTCATTTTAGTATATATTTTGCTTCCTTATTCTTCGGGTTAATCGTTTTACTTTATTATTAATTTGTTCATTAAATTTTGACCAGAAAACCAATGCTTCAATGCTATTTTTGTTCGTTAAATTTAATTGGAAAATTTGTGAAAATAGGGAAATAATTTGTATGTGTAAAATCAGGAGGGCTAGCCAGGCGAAAGTTTGCTGTTTCATTCTATTTTCGAAATACGAGAAGCAAGTGGAATATTCTAGAAGCTTTTGCATTGTCTTCCGTTTGCCAGGGGGGGCTGTAGTACGTGATATCTTCGAGAGAAGGTCAAGAGTTAATGTGAGGTTACGCGAAAATGACAACAGATCTTGGTGAAGGGGTGTTCACTGTTGGCTGCTGGTTTTGACTGACTGCGCTTGCGCAGAAGTTTGCTTTTCATCGACTATGCGAAAAAGTGGAAATTTAGTTCTTAAGGGGTGCGAATCATGGAAATTGTGGTATCTGGGATTTTTCCTTGATCGTGCCAGTCACTTTTGGGATCGAATAGTCGAGTAAGGATGTAATCTGACTTTGTAGACGAGGCGAATTAGCTAATTCTCGACTGGTGTATCACGTTTTACTTTCGAAGGAAGGGTCTGGTGTGTACGTGTGTAACCCGATAGAGAGTACGAGAAGAGAAAGAAGAGAAAATCGTCTTAAGAGTATCCACTAACAGGAACGAGGAAATTATTAATTTGTCAATGTTAGGCGAGAAGGGCTTTTTTGTGAGCTTGCGTTGAAGGTAGTATTTGCTGGTTTCACGGGTAATCCATGCGGCGAGTCCCTTATCCTGCTGCATCCAGTTGAAAATGTATTGCTACATCTGTGATATGTGGTTTCCCTGCAGCCGTTTAATAAAAATATAATTATATTTTACCATCGGGAATTGGTAATAGCATTTTCTTCCGATCGGCGTGTTTCACGTGCTGGCTAACAGACCCGGCTTAATTGAATTAAGAAGGTAATATTTTTTCGTATTTAATCTTCATGTTTGAATGCTACAAGCTTCTTCAGAAACACTTCAAGTCGCAGAGTTGGATAAATCCAGACAGTTCTTCATCAGCTTTTCGGCCAGGAACTTTGCTGCCGCGCAGTATTTGCTAGTTGAATTTTGGGTACCCTTGGACTGCTGACATGTTCCAGTTTCCGACTTCCAACGTTCTCATTCCCGGCCCAGCTACGAGTGATCTCTGCAAATGTTATGGTGACTTTTAAGAAGGACACTACACACCAATTAAATTTACCTAAAATCCTAACCTAACTAAACTGAATTGAGTTGTCATTTAACATGACCGAAAAAACCCTCGTGTGGATGGTTGGTGAGAATCATGAGTATTGATTAAATAAAAACATACAATTTGTTAATTCAAGAAAACATGACATTTATTTACCAAAAGAAAACATCCAAAATCTAAATCATCAAGATAATATTGAAAAATCTTAAAAAAAAAAAAAAAAAAAAAAAAAAATAGGATATATATAATTGGATTGCACTTAGGATATTATTTAGTGTAATATTTTTACCGTAATCTATTTCTATTTCACTTTCCTAATCCAAAAGTCGAGTTATCTTAATAAGGGTTATTGGATAACATTTTGTAGAAGAAATTATTTTTTCAACACATTGCACATAAAAATCAATAAAAAAAACCTTTTAACCAAAATTCCTTGGAGGAATCCACACTCAACTGAAATCGTATAAGAAGTAATGGCTTAAGGTACCACTTTAGCACAATTATTAACTTTAACAATTTTTTTTTCTTTGAGTCATAGTTATTTTTAAAAATGCTCCTTATCATCTCCTAAGTTACAATCAACTTAAAACTACGTTAGAATTATTGCTTAGCAAGGTAGATCAATCATAAGTACTGAGTTAAACAATTATACTCTTAAACAAGTTATTCTAACAATCCAAATTTTCAGTTTAATCGATACAAAGAAGATTAGCTATTGCAAGTGAATTTAGGTTAAACAAAATTAAAATGGAAACAAGATCCAGATGGAGACACAAAATAACAGGAGTCGGATGAAAATGTCCCATGAATGGCCAGCACATAGCAGGAGTCTGATGGTGAACTTATGTAGTCATAGGGAGACTTGGTAGACCTAAAGAAAACGGACTGGTACTATTGGATGGAGAATAGTGTCCATTAAACTTCCTGCAGCCTAAAAGTAAAGCTGGAGCTGGAAAAACATCTTCCCCTTGAAAACAGCACTGCCAGTTGATAAAATTTGAGAGGTAGCATATGAAGTCAGAAAGATTCAGAAACGGAGATTTGAGGATCGGTATATTTCATTTTAAGTATAGACAAATTATTTCTAACTTCAATAGTAAAAGAAACGGTTCTCGGGCCAAAACTGCGAGAAGGCAGGCAGGTGCCTACCATCGCCGAGCCGAAGAGTAAAATTTACCGCAAAAAGATAATATGCTGAAGCCCTCCGGGCAACCGATGAGAAAGACGAGAAGCAGCAAAAGCCAAAACAGAGAGCTCAATCCCGACTTGCAGCTACTTATAGATAGGACGAGACTACCACATTGGCTAACTTACGCCCGAAATTGTGAAAAAAAAAGCAGTTTTTACAAACACCGCCTCACGCTATGTAAAATCTCTTCTTTTTCCCAAGCGTTGAACTAAAGATAAATTTAAACCTCGCCAAAATTCTCGCCAAGCCTGGAACGTCTGCAAGGTCAAGCTGGCAAACATAAACAAATCCCACCGGATGCGTATGCAAGGCGCTAGACATCCTGTGAAAAACTGTGTTTTCTATCGCTTTTTTACAATTTCAATCTCACACAGTGGAAACTGTAAATTTTTGTTAAATAATTCACTATATCTTAAAATGTGTTTAAGGCTAGAATCTTGAAAGTGATCTTAAATTAAGGAGCTAAATTTTTCTGCTTCTAGTGATATAAGTTAATAATGGTTAAACTTAAGTAGTATAAAATAAAGTTTATTACTTAGATATTCACCCGATTGCATTGCGTGTTTCAACGCGTTTACAAGTAACGAGTGAAAAGAACTTGCCAATTCTTTCTTACAAAAATCCCATTTAAAATTATACAAATCAGTTCAAATATTAAATAAAATATACGTTGTGTAGCATAAATTTAGACTATTAATAAATCAAGTTTTTAATATGTTATAATTAAAATAATTAAGTGAATTTGCTACACAACACAAATTATCTCCGGCAAGACAGGTTTTTTATACGTATGTACTCTGTTTGGTTTAGAATTTCTTAAATTACCTTAAGCAGTGCTTAGCCAGAGTAATGTTAAAAGGGCTTGAAATATATAGTCAGTTTTAATTTTCCTTCGCTGATCTTTTCCTGAAGTAAGTAATAATGAAACTAATTTAGTGTATAATCTTTTATTGAAATATCGGTAAATGTAATAGATTACTTTTGGAACTTAAATTTTATTGTGATGAAGTGGTAAATGCCTCATTAAAAATGTAATGAATTATTCTGTATTAGGATGAAACAATAGTAATTTTGGGGTCCCCCTGCCTATGTTAAAAATAATAACGATTTCTCAAAATGTGTAAATTTTTGCTCATTTTGCATATTATTAATTAACTTAGAACTCTGAAGTAAATTAAAGGTGATTAATAGGCCAAGACGAGGTACTGAAACTTATGGTTGTGTTACTATATTTATTAAAATCTGGTTTTTCTTAATTTTATATTCTTCTACTCATTTTGTTACTCATAACTTAATTATAACCTAATGCCCTAACTTAAATAAATGAGATTTATGGGTAAAAATGCTCTATGTATTATTTGTATTTTCTTTACGTATCATTCACTATGCACGTTCCCAATATAGGAAAATCACAACTCAAGGACTTTCTTAACTACCATCATACATGTAAATTTTTGTGAAAATGAATTATGAGTTAAATTAGAAATAGGGAATATGTTCCTTTAAGTATTTTTTAAACAATTGAGTTTATTTTAATAAGTCAGTACCGTTGCGGTACTTTACTTCGGTACCGTACCGGTACTGAACACATGTTCCTGCATATTTTGAAATCTAATAATAAGGATTTTTTTTATTACTTACACAATCGGAAGCTGATGGTTTGTCACACACAGTGTGCAATGAGAATGAATTCATAGTTTTTTCTTTGTGCAAAAGAGATATATACCGGCGTTGCTGTTCTTTAGTTGATAACCCATGTTTAGCAATATTTCATTCTAAATGTATCAAAAATTAGAAAACTAAAAAGTGCCAAATCAATTAATGAGATAAACATTTTATTGACAAAATTCACAACAAGTCAATAAGGACAAAATATCACAAGAAATAAAGATGCATATAATAATATGATACAATAATGTATATAATGTAATAGAAATAAAAGGGATCCATTTTCACAATGTTTGGCACATAGAGATGTAACAGATGAATTGTTCGTTAAGGAAACTGTAACGAAACAAATAAACTGAATTTAATTATTAATGATTAAGCAATATCTAAGCGATGTGAATTGTTTTTCTAATTTTAATGTATATTTTAGCAAGATAAAATAAAATTATATTAAAAAAAGGAAAGTTAGAAAATTCCCTATTTTTCATAAACTTAGTCTTCAAAATGAAAATTTGTTTACAATTTATTAATATTTTATATAGAACTGATATATTGTATGTCATATAAATTTACAATGAAACGAATTCAAATAATTAAATGTACTGATTTGAAAATATGATAAACAGAATCAAAAATACATTTGTAAAATTAATTGTACCTTTTCCATTGCTTTCACTGAACTAAAATAATAATTTAAGCGCAATTTTCTCCATTTCAGAATAATGTATTTATTTTATTCTGGCCTTGAAAGAAAAAGCGCATTTTTAATTGAGGAGCTCCTTTTTAAAATGAAACAACTGATATTGTATTCTCATATATTAATTCAGAGAAGGTAAGAGGAAATAGTGAATGAAACTGATACCTAGCATAAGCACTGGCTTTTACCAAACAAAATAAACCAATTACTTTACCATTTTTATCTTTACATGTAATAACAGCTCTTAAAGTTAATTGTACATGTCTCTTCATACATTTAAGATGCCTGTATATTCTCTTTTCTTCATCAAACAATTTCATTGCATTTCTCAATTTTAGAAAATGTCAAGATTTATTTGTGCTGTACTAATCACAGAGATTTTTTTGAATGAAACTAGCCACTCAATGAACATTTGCTTGTCCACTCTGCTTACAAAGAAGTTCAAAACATGTGTATTGATATCACTGATGTTAGAACATGTAGGTAATCTGACGCTTTATACAGTTATTATTCAGAGTTTTACATTTTGCTTACATGTTCAATAACGAATCTTTCAAGAACTAAACCTAAAAAATAAATTTACAGTCACTTTGAATAAGAAAATTACAGAAAAAATCATACAACTGAATAATTCATAAATCCAGTTATTCAAAAATATTTCAAAGTTAGTACAAGCATTATAGTGCCATCACATATCGGATTGTTGCAAATGAAATAAAGAATATTAAGGACGATAGAAAAATAAGAAGTGATGATGTCTCCACTGTTCTAACAATAATGCATCGTTGGGAAATACTTTATTCGACATATAATAACAAAAGTGCGATACCAAATAATAATATCTTAGAAAATGTTAGAAGAGTATGGATAATGTAGTACAGTTTCATATCCCAAACTGCTGATTTGCCATATGTGGTCTGGCATTCCTCTGAAGCAATAGGATTCATGTCTGGTCCCACGTATGCTATTTAAAGCACAATTTGTCACGTATTTGACTATATCACTACGATACCAAACCAATTTATCGTTTGACCTTGTTGAGTAAATAGTAATATCAATAGATCACCGTACATTAAAAAATGAGTTCTTTGGATGCAAAGGGAACTTTGGAGCCTTTCAGTTACAAATATTGAGAGGAAAATGTACACTGCGGAGAAAAAAAAAAAGACAGAGAGAGAGATGTATAACCGACATTGCATTATCATCCTATATTTAGTTTCTTAAAATGTTATTCATATTTTAGTCAAATATTTTATTTTTGAAATCGCAAGAATCAAGTATCATAAGATAAAAAAAATTTAAATTAAAAAAATTGGAAGTTTTCATATTTTAAATTACGTCCAAAGGAGCGTTTTTTCAACGTTTTGTGTGTTACCTTTATTTATTAAATATCATGTTCTTTGCATTTGAACCATAAAATTCAGTTCAATAGCAATGTCGCAAAGTAATTTTAAAATGAGCCTATCTTTAGAATTTCCGAAACACAGTTTCGTGCGCTGAAGATAAAAAGGTCCCCCCCCCCCGTAGAGTGTTGGCATTGCTCGCTTTGAAATCATTCAGTTTGTTAATCAAAAATTCGTTAAACGTTTACATAATATGAAAATAGATAACAAAACCAATTCCCAATTTCAAATCTGGGCTTCCAGATGCTCATATTCGAGTGGAGGACTTACGTTATTCAAAATTTGCTGTCTCTAGCTACTGTTGTTTTATACATAATGCGAGAAATATGCATACATTTATGCAGATTTTTCATTACTTAATTTCTTTAAATATAACACAGGGCGATAATACGTTGTGGCAACAGTTTGAAAAGTGATTCCCCGTTTGTAGTGAATTGACGGAAAATCGCAAAACGAAAACAATAGTCTTCAGAGACAAATCCCTTTGGACTAAAAAAAAGAGGAAATGTTTCAGTTTTTAACGGTCGCCCAAAAGGGTTTGTTAAGGATTTTTACGCTTTCGCTGAGCTCGCAGTCTATCAGTCTTTTATTACACTCCCTCCTACTAATTTGTCTTCTGTCTTTCTAACTTTATTATTAAGCATCATTTCCCTCGCACTTACGCCACATACAATTTAACAGCAAAATTACAAAGATTTTAACAGCAGCGTAACAATATACGTCTAGAATTCCCGATGCAGCTTTTAACTGTTGGCATACATTTTTTATTTCTTTTTCAGTCTCTTCCCAGTTTATCATATCAACGTTCAGTTTTCTTACTAAGATGGCTTTACAAAAAATCTTTTTTTCTGTCTTCGATTTGAAATCATTGAGTTTGTTAATCAAAAATTCGTAAAAGGTTTACAAAATATGAAATAGACAGTAAAACAAATTTGAAATTTAAAATTTGAGCTTCCAGGTGCTCACGTTTGGGTGAAAGACTACGTTATTCGAAATTTGATGGCTTTGGTATAGTTGTCTTTTCACAATGGGAAAACCATGCACGTATTCATGCAGATTCTTCATTATTCAATTTCTTTAAATATGATACAGTGGTATATTGGGGGCAAAAATTTGAATTGTGATATGCCATTTATCGCAAAATGCCTTTTGGAGACTAATATCCCATTCGAGACATCCCTTTCGGGGGCGGGAGAATTTAGTTGCATTCTCCACGTTTGAAGCTGTCAGAACATTGAAAGATTACATAAAACTCAGCGCTTGCTTTCCTTCTCAACCAGAGAAGCATAATGTCATTCAGCGGCCACTGAGTTTGCCACTGCTTAATATATTAAAAATATTATAATTCCAGCATGGTAACACATAGTACAAGCACAGCGCCATATTATAAAAACATTGCAAGAATACCTGCATTTTACATTGGTTAATATTAATTGCATTTAGCAATTAAAACGCCCAAAATTTCTTCTAGCCATAAATAATTAGTAGTATGCAGGGTGTGCTAAAAGAAAAAAATGGATTTAATTGGAAATTTTAATGACTTCTGAATCCATAGAATGATCGTGATTCTATAGCATTGATCCATAGAATGATCGTGATTCTATGGCATTGATCCATAGAATGATCGTGATCTCAAAGATGGATTCCATAAAATATTTTGAACAGCATTTTACACATTTATAAATTTTGCTTCAAACATTAATAATTTTTTAAATAGCATGAATTTTAATATGGATAAATGCATCTATTCACTAAAAATTCCGAATTATTTCAAGTTATAAAGAATTTCATAAAAGATGCAATATTATTTACCTCAGATCGACACAGAAAGATGAAATATTCTTATTAAATGTTGGATCGTAGGTGCAAATGTGCGATTTCAAGAATTATATGAAGAATGCTGAAACATGTGCATCAAAGTTCGGCTGTAGCAACTGTACTAGCACTATTAAGAAAAAAGAAAAAAAAATATTAGTACAACAGTTTTACATTGAGCAATGGTTTGCATTAAATGTGACAATGAGAGAGATTTTAAACTTTTAGTAGAATTTCAGGTTGGTCAAATTATTTATTATGTCACAGAACAAAATGTTCAAAATTTTATTTATTATGTCACAGAACAAAATGTTCAAAATGTTATTTATTATGCGTTCCTTAAATGTGATAAAACAGTAATGGATAATATTTATATGTTTGCTTGAAACAAATAATATGCTGCTTTTAAGAAAATAATTGTATGCCAAGTTACATTTCTGAGTATTGTGAATTTTTAGTTTTAGGACTTAAAAAGGAAACTTTTCTATCAAAAAGTAAATTAGGTTTTCATGCTAATTTATTGTTAACAGTTTAACTGTTGCAGATATCATTCGCTATGTTATAATTAATGCTAGACATCCATATTCTTCTTCTTCCATGTGCATGGAATTTCCTCAGCTGAATTTTAGTATAAGTTTACAAACAACGCAATGAATTGTTACCACTGTGGATCGCTAAGCGGTTCCAAAATGTATTGTAAACATTTTACACTATAGAACTGAGATTTATGGGCTGTCTGCCGGATTTATTAGCTATATATTACAATATATTATCAATAAGCAATTTATTTAAGAAATTTCAAAAAGTTATTTAATATATTCAAGTATATTAACCTGTCCAGATAATCTATGAGACATCCCAGACAAATTGGAACTTAAAAGAACAGGTATTGCATTTGAACTTGTAAAATTTTATTCCGAAATACCGTCGAATTAAAGACCTTCGGTTATTAATCAACATTCATATTAATCCTGATCAACATTTTGAAAACTTTGTGTCCCATTAGGTAATAATTAAATGTGATTTCAAAGTATCTAATATTAATATAGAAGTTTTCAGTTCAAATATAATAAGTTTTCTATAATCAAGTTTTCAGTTACTATATCAAGTTTTCATTTCACGTACTGAAATTGAGATTGGCTAACTCAAACAATTAGTAGTATTAGTAGAAACATAAATCTTACGCATAAAATATAATAGCCTACGTATACATAGAAGGATAGAATAATTGCTAATATTGTTGTGAAGACAATTTGGGAAATTGAATTAGAGAGCTTTTTTGTAAAATTCTATAAAAATGTAACGAAAGGCAATATTGCTGCTTTCTACGGTTCCGTGGATTTGGAGTAACTGATGATAACACTTGATGAAGAATCAAAACATAATTTATTCGCCATTTTTACACAGGACAGTTCCAAAGACGCGTTTATAGTTGTTGAAAAACTGAGATAAACACGCTGAAAGAATCAGCAACACTGTCTTAACCGGTGAAGACCAGCAACACCGGTGAAGACAGCTTTACGGCAAAGCACTAAAGTACAGCTCCCGACTCGGTTGATTTCGTTCAAGTTAATCTCTGAACTCAAGAACTTACTACACTACTGAATTCAAGACACTCCTACTCCGCGTACAGGCAGGGTATAGCTTTAACCTACCTTCGAGAATGTTCTCGAGAAAAGCGCTTAAAATGTGTTCTAGAATGTTCTCGCTCTGTCTGTGGCATATCGCCAATTTTGTTATCAAATATCGTCAAATGAGCGATCTCGCGCCAAATTTGGAAATCCTAGTTTTTCCTGCCAAATTCTGGCAACCCAAAACCCGCTTTGCAGGGAGGCTACCTTACCGCAGCTGAGCGTTTCGCCATAATATGAATTTTTTAATAATCCAGTTAATACTAATTCTTACGCTACTATACTGAAATTCCTTATTTAAATTTAAGTTTAAGTTTGAATTTAATTTATTAAATTTAAGTTTGAATAGTTTTCAAATGAAAGTCTCAAATAGAAAAAGAAGTAATTTACTCAAAAATAAGCTGTAGTATAGGAGCAATAGAAGAATTTCAGCTAATCAGCCTCATTACGCTTTAATGACATTGCACTTGCTGATTAACTGAACAGTAATCAGCAAGTACAAAAGTAAAACAAAAGTAAAATTAAAGTTTATCATTGGAAGAGGACAAGATGATAATAACTGGAAATTCCAATGCCAAAAACAAAATCTGATAATAAGGCTTCAGACATATCCACAGCTGAAATTTTAGCAAAATTTCAGTGATTACTGAAATCATAGGATTCCATCTCATACTTTTATTAGCTGAAGAAAGTATTGAAAATTCTTAATGTTGGAGCTGTTTCATTCTTCGTCGAATATTTTCGGAGACTGGAAATTTTCGAAGATTTCTAATTTCGCTTCTTGTTAAGTTATTTAAATGCTGAATTCTACAGTCAGAGGATTTTAAACTAAACCAATGTAAATGAATAATATCTCAACCATCTACAAATATTCTAGAAATTGTTACAAATTTTCTTTATTTATAATACACTCTTCTCGTGCATGAAGGATGGTAACTAAATGCTACGGTGAGCATTATATATTCTGAAACTATGTTATATTTAGTAAGAAATTTATATTGTTCTTATCAAATTGTGCTTTTAGTCTGTTTTATTTATAAGGTATTTTCTCCGTCCCTTCGTGGTGTAACGGTAGCACACTCGGCTTGTAGTCGAGAGGTCCAGCTTCGAGTCACATCGAGGGTATTACGGATTTCCTTGTTTAGAAAAATTCTATAATGATTCTACAGTGGCACTCGAATTAAGAGGTGTTGGACAATAATACATCACCACCCAGGATTTGGCGATTGTGTCCCTTAATCTCCAGTCGCTCTTTAAAAGGGTGAGTATATAAAGTATTTTCTCCCTCCTTCCACATGCCTTCGTGGTGTAACGGTAGCACCTCGGCACGTATTCGATTTGAATCATCTAGGTTTGGATCTCGGCCAGAGCATTGTACACACACTTTTTACCTACTCAATAAAAAAAAAAAAAAAAAAAAAAAAAAAAAAAAAAAAAACTCTAACCACTTTACATATTTAGATTTCTATCCTTTTGTTGTGAAATTCTTTTATTAGTACCCGGTATTTTATTAGTATTTTACTAAAGTCATGCACTAACAACATCCTTTTCCAGAAAGTATTACGAATAATAGAAGTATTTAAAAATATTTACATTATTTGCATAAAATGTCCTCCAGCATGAAATTCTACTTAAAACAGAGATAACCCTCGAGTGAGCTACCTTAGTAAACAATTTATTCCAACTTTCCTTTGGATTATTTGAGTAATTTCAAAACATTCAACAACACAATGCTCTTCAATCCAATGGAAACAATGATCTTCAATCCGATTATTAAAAACTCGGAAAGGTTATTTTTACTAATCCGGTCACTGAAAATGTTGAAATCCTATTATTATATCGCAATTGTATACTTTTAGAGTTAGATAGATACATGTATAGATATTTAACCTCTAAAAAAAGGTTTTTCAAAATTTCTCTAATTTTAAATTAGAACGCTATTATGCACAGAATAATGTTATGGTTTAGTGCTATTGTTCAAAATACTGGAACAGTAATGGATTTATAAAAGTATTAGTGAGTTAGGAAAATTTCATTAATGTACTTGATGTACAGAATGTCTTGAGTAAAAGAGTGTATAGAGTAAACTGAGTACAGGAATATACTGAGTATCCGAAAATACATGGAGAGATGTACAGAGCGTCTCACTTGATATGCAGAATGTCTGAGAAGTTTCCGTACCTCAAAGCAATATCAGTATAATTTTAGAAATGCTTTTTAATAGTATTAATTATTGTGGTTTTGGTAATGATGCTTTCATATTGCACTTATGACAAATATGTGACTTGAAATTCTTAATTACGCATGCTAAAACGTAGTTAACATCTAAGCTACAAAATATGGGAATTATGGGTCTTGTGTCGGTACAGTAGAACATGGTCCCAGTTTATATTGATGCTCAGGTGGGTGATTTCTTAATGAATAAGTTTGAACTTCTAGATTGGACGTGGTTCTTCAATATCTCCATCCCAATTGGCGCCCATGAAGCCTAGAAGGCTTCTCGAAAAATAACTCGCATACTTCGCAACATCTGAAGAAAGACGTGTACAGCAGGAGGAAGCACATACAAATCCGCTAGACACATAATTAGTAGACTGGTTATCATAAATTAAGGAAAAATCACAAAAATCACGATTACTGAAAAGTTACACGTAGAATTTAATGAAACTTACCCACAATATACAATACATAGTTGGGTATCAAATAACATAAAAAGAAATTACCAGACAAATATGGTATAGAAATTAGCACATAATTAAATTAATCAAATCGAAGGTGTCAGCTTGCTATAGGAAAAATACCTTCAATATGGAATATGATCGCCTCTACAAGCAATATAGCATATACAGCGATGTGTGATGCTTTCAATTATGCGGCCTATCAGTTCCATAGGAAGCGAAAGCCATTGCTTTTGCAAAGCAGTTGCAAGCCCGACAAGGGTCTGAGGGGGCGGATTGAGAGCAGCTAGACGTCTCCCTAAAGCATCTCAAACGTGCTCGATAGGATTAAGTCCGGGGATAGAGCTGGCCACTACATGCACATAATTGTTTCCTCTTGAAGATAATCATCTACGATGCGAGCCCTGTGTGGTCTTGCGTTGTCGTCCTGTAACAGGAAAGCATCACCTATTGCCCCGGCATATGGGCGTACATAAACATCGAGGATGTCATCTCTATAAATCTGAGCATTCACGGTTCCCCTTGGAAAGACATGGAGGTCTGTGCGTCCACCCAATAAGATGCCACCCCAAACACAGACACTGCCCCTTCCGTATGCATCTCTTTCACGGATGTTTGACGGATGATAACGGGTTCTAGGCTCTCTCCATATCTAATAACGCCTACTATCGCGTTCTAGACTAAACCTGGACTCATCCGTAAAGAGAACCACCCTCCAGTGATCAGGCGTACAGTGGACATGTCGTGCCCACTGAAAACGTGACTCCTATGGCGTGACGTGAGCGGCACACAAATGGCTAGTCGCTTCGCCATACAGTCCA